CATACTTATATCAACTGTCTTACTTAAAAGTTTTACAGGACATTCATAACAGTTTATCAAAAACAAGACAATGACACTTAAATACTTATGAATTCACTAGATTTAAAGCTAATACTCTCTTTCAAAATAACTTGTATTCTCAGGTCATCAGTAGACAAGTACAGTGGCCAGGTTTTGAGAAGACGGAGCAGACAAGTCTCGTCTTTTATTTTGATTATATTTTTGGTGTCTTATTACAATGAAAGAACACACACATGTATTAAAACTTTACTTATAATGCAATGGATGATGTTGTTGCTTGTTTACTATTTTACACTGTTGTGATACTGTACATGATGTCCTCTACCCCTGAACGTTTCCGCCGTTCGTGGTTTTGGGGTGTGACACCCGGGAACCAACTCCCAACCCAGCCCTAGAAGTCATGGTTTCCCTGATACGCGTATGGGTCCTGTGCTTTCAGTAGTATGGGCCCATACTACCTTCCACACCTACCCATATTTGTATGAAGTACTACCACAACACCCTAGTGACAAATATACATAACAAGCGCTCAATCCTCACTCCTAGAGGAACACTGGATATCTCATACGGAGGGAAACCCTAGGCTAGCAGGCATCATAAAACAGGCAACATTATCATGAAATCCTGAAGATCCCTACCCTAGTACTAGCATGTTGTTCTATCAAAGCTCGAAATCAAATATCATGCATGGTATTTTGGGTTTACTTACTGGCTCCAAATGATCGTACCTCAGCGTCCTCCTGTTACTTAATTTGAAAACCACTTTAAATTCTCTTTTAAAAACTTTCCCTGATTTGAGACTGGATTCACACGAATGTTCCTCTAATTCACTCAAACCAAGGCTCTGATACCAACTTGTAACGACCAAAAATTTCAACAAATTTTAACTTTTCAAAAACAACCCATTTTAATCATGTTATTACAAAAAGGTTTTCAATACACTTACTATCAGAGTATTCCCAGAACCATGTCATCAATCACAAACACGAGGAGCAGTACGATCATGCCTTTGCCTTGCCATGGTTTCCTGAAGAACCCGAAAAACATTAAACCACAACTGTAAGCCCGAAAGCTTAGTGAGATACCCCCAAAATACCAACCACATATACCACACACATAACATGCTATATCATATCGAATCACAGAACATCCATGCATACTGTGTGACTGGTCCGCCGTGTCGGGCCTTCAGTCCACCTAGCCCACCCTCCGAGTCTAGTCATGTCCCTCGAGTCTGTAGTATGGTTGGTCCGCCCGCACCGGGCCTTCAACCCACCTGGTCCACTCTCTGAGTCTATAGTATGACTGGTCCGCCCGCATCGGGCCTTCAGTCGACCTGGTCCACTCTCTGAGCCTCGGCACGTCTGGTCCGCCCCGTGGGGCCTACAGCCTATCCGGACCGCTCGTTGGGGCTTCAGAATAATCGGTCCGCCCTGGGTATGTTGGCCTACAGCACAAAGCAGGTCCCACCTCAACCCAACCCCAATCAAACAACCATGTGCACATAAACATACAATCATATAACAATTCACATTCAATCAAACCGATCTAGCAGATCACGTAACACAACATACTCTAAGCAGGATACCAACCTAACCGGTCACTAGCATAACATCACCCTATATACCAGGATACCGACCTTAACGAGGTCTCTAACGAATACCATCCTAACTACCAAGATGCAAACATAGTACAACAGCAACATAACAACAATACCCGGATTACAATCCGATAAAGGGCCGACCTTGGTGCCTTAGACCCTGTTGATATAGTGAGGATAACTCACCTCGCAATTGCTGACTGGAAAGATAAGATCGAGATGCTCCGACCACTGACATGATCTCCACCACTGGCTAGCACCAACATTGAACTCAAAACAAAAGCCAACAATTACCAAAATGCCCTTAGAAGTCAAATGGTCAACTCTTGGTCAAAGTCAACCTTCTGACTGACTCTACTCGCCGAGTCAGCCCGCTGACTCGCCGAGTCCCCCAACACTAAAAAGGACCCATCTCAACTCACTGAGTCATCCTTGACTCACCGATTCTTAGCTTAACCAGGAAAAAATAAAGACCTCAAGACCAGACTCGCCGAGTCCAAGAACAGACTCGTCGTGTCCAAGGCTATCTTCAACCAACTCGCCGAGTTGTTCTTCCAACTTGTCGAGTTACTGCCCACCTTCAAGCAACTCGCTGAGTACACCCTTGTGACTCGCCGAGTACCACTAGTTCTTAACCCATACAGAAGCCTTCCAGGCCATGCAATCGATCCAAAACGTAGATCTACCCTTCTACAATCCTTCCATCACGTAAAGTGGCAAACTTTACGTGAATCCAAAGAGATCTAGGCATTTTACACTCTAGGGCTAGGGTTTGGGACAAGATGGCTTCACCAAACACTTAATTAAAGGGACTTTAATGCACTCTAGACCTTCTCCATTCCAGATCTGAGGTAGCAACCTCAGATCTAACCTTCAAACTCTAAATACCACAAGCTAAACTTCCCACACATCCAAAAAATGGTGAATCTAGATGAATAGCAGCCCAAGAACGAGATAATACCTCAAAAGGAAGCCCCAACAGCAAGGAAATCTGAATCTAAGCAAAGCCCCTTGTTCCAAGCCTCCTAACTCTCCAAGATCTTTCTCCAAATCTCGTCTCCAAGGCTCAAATGCACTCAAATCCTTCATAATCACGCTTCTAGGGTTTTCTAGACTTCAAGGGAAGGTAAGGAGGCTGGGGAGAGGGTATAATGTCCTTTATATAGGGCTCATCCCCCGAAATTAGGCTTTTCTTCACTCAGCGCCTACTCGCCGAGTCCATCCTTGGACTCGCCAAGTTGGCCACTTAACACGCGACCAGAGTCACGACCCTACTCGCCGAGTCCACCCATTAACTCACCGAGTTGCCCTTCAAATTTACACTTTGAACCCCGAACTTGCACTCCTGGACTCGGGATGTTACAGTGAAGAGAGGGAAGGAAGGGTCCGTCAGGATTGGCGACCCTTCGTGGGTTTATATCTTCATCATCGGCGGCAGTTGTGGTGGTCGTTGTCGTCTGCGGTGGCGAGGGAGGCTGCTCCGGCGGCTTCTGTTAGTTGCTCTCCTCCAGTCGCCGACCGCTGAACACAAAGGGGAAAGGTTCGAATGGTCCAATCGTTCGAACAAAGGCAGATGTTTGGGGTTGCTGTTGGCTAGATAATCACAGGTATTCCTTTTCTCTCCTTTTTGTTATAACCGAAAATCAACGGAGTCTTGGTGGGTTTTGGGTTTGATTCTTGACAGAGAATGGAAGCAAGGAGAAGACAGGTGAAGTAGAAGAGGCAGCTGCCTCTTGTTCATTCACTCGAAAACAACCTCTCCTTGGGTTGTTCTTCTTTTTTAGGGTTAATATTATAAAAGCCCTAAATTTTTATCGCGTAATTGGAAAAAACCATGATATTTTTTTTTATATTGTTGTGGCCACAACTTTCTCGCAGAATTATCACTCTAGCCCACTTAACGAGTTTCATGGTTAAGTTGGTTAACTTTTTTCAAAATTAGTCCTAAAAAGTTCAAATTTTGTCCCCGAGGTTTGAAAAAAATTACACCACATGGTTTTTTTAACTTTATTTTTCGTTTTTTGTATACTTTATTTATTTTCGGTTTTTTTATAAATATATGTACATTGTTTATTTTCTTTTTATATATATACTTTATTTATTTTCATTTTTTAACTTTATTTTTCAACAATTTTTTTTAACCTTTTCACCTTTTGTTTTCTATTTTTTAGTGTATATATAGAGTATATTAGAGTTTTTTTTTAGGTTTTGTCATATTTCTTTTCGTATTATATTTTAATTTTTTCATCTTTTTATTTTTTTATTTTTTTTTTCTATTTTTTGTTATTTATGGTTTTTCTAATATTTTTCTAAGGTTTTTTCGTATTACAATTTTTGTTTTCTATTTTTTTTTTCCTGTTTTAGTTATTTATGGTTTTTCTAATGTTTTTATTTACTTTGATTCAAGTAAACGAACTTGAATTCA